ACAGCTGTTCCTCTGGTATGTGCTCAGAAGTATGTCCCCCGCCCAGTGTCCCAGGGTAGGGAGGAGCTCATGTGGGCCAGGGGTGGCGGGTGGGAGGGCACCCCGGGACACGCAGAGAACGGCCCAGCTGTAGGCGAGCCTGCCTGGGGTCTTGGCTGAGGATCTTTCCTGGTCTAGTTAAGACAAACAAAGTCTGGAGGGGTCATTTCTGGGCTCTTGGGGATACCACAGGCCCTGCTTGTTTGCTCACCCAAGTCCTTTAACTCTGGTGGGCTTTGCTTAGAACATACCCACTGTTCCTATCCTTCAGGACAGATGTTCTTGTGATGAAGTGAATGACATCATCAGCAAGCAGGCTACAGAATGGGTGATTCAGGAGCGGCTGGGAAGCTGGGAGCCTCCTGGCCCCTCGGCTGGGCAGCTGTCCCCAGGGCTGGCTGAGCATGCCTTTGCATTGGGCTCCTTCCCTGCCCCCACCCGAGGCGGCCTCCGTCATGCTGATAGGCCAAGCGACCTCTTGGATCTGAGGCTTTCCTACCAACCATGCCCAGAACAGATGGAAACGGATCTCCTGGGCATCTCCAGCTGATGCGGATTTCACAGCAGGCAGAAGCGGGGGCGGGAAGCAGACAACTCAGCCCCTTCCCACGGCCACTTGGGAGGCCACAGTGGCTGTTCAGCTGTCCGCCCTCTCAACCTGTGAAAGAGGCGGGGCTTGAGATGGGGGATCCATTTCAGCAGCGGTGAGGCTGGCAGCTAGAAATTCAAAACACGCCAGTTCCTTATGGCTTTTAACCAGAGCTCCAAGGAGACCCCTTACCCTGCCAGAGCCATTTCTTTCCAGCCTCACTGCACAGCACTGCCACATAAAGGGCTAGACTGGTCTCTAGTCCCCTAACGTCCCCTCTCTCTCCCCTGTTTCCTGCCTTGTAGCCTCTGTTCTTTGCTCCCGTCGGCACAAGGACATCCACGGTATCCCTCTAGACTTGGCCCAGATGCCACTTTCTCCAGGAAGCGGTCCCCTTCTGCCCCCAACCCCCATTTGAGCAGTAATCTATCCCTCTTTCCCTGTTCGTCCCCAAAGGCTCCATCTGCATCACTTAAATGAAACCAGTGACTTTATGTCTGGGATCACCATTGCTCCTGGTCATTTCTCTTATCGGACTGGGTCCTTTTCAGAGCAGGGCATGGCTCTTTTTTGGCTTCATAGTCCCCATGGAAGGTGCCCGGTAATGTCTTATTTGCTCGGGTTGGTTTTGTTTTTATTTTTGCTGAGTGCATGTGAAATAGCTGATGTCAAAAGCTGCTTTTCCCCCAAACCCTGTCTTAGTCCACTTGGGCTGCTAGAACAAAATACCGTAGGCCCAGTGGCTTAACCCATGAACATTTATGCCTCACGGTAAGGCTGGGAAGTCCAAGATCAAGGTGCCAGCATATGGGTGTCTGTTGGGAACCCTCCTCCTGTTTTGAAGGCTACTGCCTTTTTTGTTGTGTCCTCACGTGGCGGAGAGAGGTGTCTTTCTTATAAGGGCACTAATCCCATCATGGGGGGCTCCACCCTCATGACCTCAACGAAACCTAATTACCTCTCAAAAACCCCACCCTCAAATACCATCACATTAGGGATTAGAGGTTCCACATATGAATTCGGGGGGGAGGGGTGGGACACAAACATTCAGTCCGCCGTCTATCTCGTAATCATAACAACCTCTGAAATAAATATTGAGAACTCTGTTCAAAACAACCCTCTTTGGGGTACGAGCTGTGTGACAAGCATGGCACTGGGAGCTAGCGGGAGGGAGGGATTCAGTGGTGGGGGAGACTTGTGCTCCAGGAGCTTATAGTCACCCAGAGCACCTGCATCTTGTCATCAGCACCAGGATGGCCCGGGATGGGCAGGGCTCAGGGCGTGCCACGGGCCACAGGTGGGAGAAGAGGCACCCTGGAGCGGGCATGCCACCCCCGGCTGGCTCGGGCCGGGCTCCGTGACTGACTCTGACTAGGTCCCAAATTGGACTTGAAAATGTAGTCCTTCTTAGCTTCTTAGCCAAGTGAGAGCTAAGAAGCCTCTCCCTCCTGTTAGTTTGTTTATTGTCTTATTCAGGCCTTTAAGATTCTACAAGTCCCCCAATACTTGAAGTTTTGTAATGTTTTTGGATGATGCACATGAGTATAGAGCTGTGCTGTCCAAATGGTAGCTACCAGACACATAGGGCTACTTAAATTTGTTTTAAGTTCATTAAATACAATGCAATTTAAAATGCAGTTTTTCCAGTCACATCATCCACATTTCACGTGCTTAGTACACGTGGCGAGTTGCTACCACACTGGACAGCACAGAATAGAACGGTTCCATTGTCTCCGAATGTTCTGCTGGATAGCTTTGGTAGAGAAAGTTGCTTTTTAGCCACTAGTTTTTAGTGTTTTATTTTTAAAGGGTTAGCTACGTCTTGTCTTCTCTTTCTAACTTTCTTCTTAAATGACCTCTCCCTTTGGTCTCTTCTCAGATACTTTTTTTTTTTTTTAAGATTTTATTTATTTTTATTCTGAGAGAGAAAGAACAAGCAGGGGGAGGGGTAGAGGGAGAGGAAGAGAGAGAATCTCCAGCAGACTCTGTGCTGAATGCGGAGCCCGATGGGGGGCTCGATCTCCTGACCCCTGAGATCATGACCTGAGCCGAAATCCAGAATCACCAACTCCACCAACTGAGCCACCCAGGCGCCGCTCAACCACTTTTTTGAGGACTCAGGTTGCTAGTGTGGATGCTAATACCTTGCAGGTGCAGCCCCGCATCCACTGTTATTCATTTCACCAGCGCGAACAGCTCTGCTTTTCTGTGCCGTTTCCCCCTGGCCTGGTAATACTGTCCCTCTGGCCCTCAGGCCTCTGTCAGAACAAATGCAAAGGGCTTTACGCTGGCCAGAAGAAAACGTAGCCAAGATCCCAAAGTAATAATGGTCTTTTTGTCCCTGGGGAGAGGCTCCCCTTGCTCAGGCTGGATCCCACTGACTGGCGCCTCCCCTCGGGTGGGGTTGCAAAGGAAGGTGGGTTGTCGGGGAGCCAGCTTTTCTTCATTTCGGCCGGAATGCTTTAAAACGCAGCACCTATCTGATGAGCGGGAGAGAACAACAGGACAAGCTTCATCTGAGTTATAAACATACTGTTACGATAGTCCATGTTATTGCGCTTTTCCTCCAGACGAGTGTAAATCCCTTTCACATTCACTACTATGTTTATACTTCTGACATCCCAGGAGCAAAAAAAGGACATCTTTGGTGTGACAGCCAACGCATCTTCCACTGTACTTTGCGGCCTGCTGGGAGCCCATGCTTACGAACGTGGCCAGGGACAGCGTGCAATGCCACTCACTGCAGGGCGTGAGTGGCCCACACGGACAGGTCTTCCAGGGCAGTCCCTGTATACACAAGCCCCTGTGCCAAGGGACAGAGCTGGCAGACCAACAAGGAAAACCTCAGTGGGTACCATCATTCACCAGTAACATCCCTCTGACTTTACTGGCTCGCACACCTGGTCACTGGGTTAGTAGTGGGCCCAGAAGGAGGATGGAAACAGATTCTTGTCCTCCAGGCATAAAACCAGTTACCCAGTGAAGTGACTAGTTTTGCTGAAATAAAAACCTCAGTTCTGCACGGAGGTGATTCTTTGGCGCATCCAACACCGACAAGCTTCCTGCTTCCCCTGGTGTCTTTAAATTCAGATGTTGGCTTAATAAGCATCCACTGAGCACCTCCTACATGCTGGTACTGGGCTCAGAGCTGAGAGGGATCCAGAGATAGGCAGTGAGTGCTGAGGGCCCCGGGAGCTCAGAGTCCACGGTGGAGAGGCCACCTGCGGCCATCAACAAAGCAGACGTCCATCAGCCCTCTCAGTGGGGCCCCCCCAGACCAGAGCCATTGGGAAAGAATACAGACTCGCCGAAGAACCCCCAGAGTCAGAGCGGGCAAGGTGTCTTCAGAGCTTTGCTCTCCAGTGGGTTGGGCCAACCCTCTCACAGAGTCCTGGCCCCAGGGCTCACTAAGGGTTTGAGCGGCCTCCGGAGCCGGCGTTTGACACACACGTGTGGGGACGCCCGCTCCCGCTGTCCCAGAATCCTGTGTCCCTCTGTCTCCCCGGCAGGGTCGGCAGACAGCAACCGTTTCTCATGGCCTCAGTAAACGTCAGCCCCGGAGAAAGCTCCAGAGAGGGTTTGGTCTGATTTCTCTCCTGTGTGGAAACTGAGGCCCCCCAGAAGGGAAGCGGCTCCTTTTGGGCCCCATGCAGCAGTGACACAGTCCTTCTTGGAGACCTTGGGGTTGGCATGACTGCCCTTAAGGGATCTGAAGAAGAACACAGAGCAGGGGCAGTACCCTGCTGCCTACGCCACATTCCCAGAGATAATCCGTCAAGGGAAGGAAGGAGAAAAACAACAGCGAACAAGCCATCTATTCTTGTCTGCGCCATTTTCCCACGTCAGGAGAGACTGTGGTGAAAAATTTAGGTTTCTCCTTTCATGTTTCCTTTCAGTGCACTCTCGACAGAACGCCTTTCTTCTCCCCATTTTCTTTGGCAGGATCCTGACCAAGGCTGTAGAAAAAGAATCTTTTAAGAACATATATATCTATCTATCGATATACATTCAGTCCCTGACAGTGACACGGAACTGTAGTGCCTCTTAATTACCCAGGAAGTGACAAGGTCAAGAGGTGTCTGAAAGCTGCCTTGGGTTTCTGTGCATTGATTTCTCCCCATTGTCGCCGCTTCCCAAGTCGGAGTGGGGGGCCAAGGCGCCTGGGTTTTGTCCACTCTTTGGACTTCTTCCTTTCTTCCTTCCTCACTTTTTTTTTTTTTTAATTTGAAAAGAAACTTCTGGCACTTGGGGTATTGATTGAAAATTCATAAAAGCAGGACGCGTTTCGGGTTGGCTGACCAGTCATAATTGCTGCTTGGGCGCTTGGGGAGGTCAACTTCTTGCAGAGACACCCGCCCCTGAGGCCCCCATTCTCTGGCTACTCTCCCACTTTCTTCCTATTTATCTTTGGGCTTTCCAGGGGAGAATGGCAAGGAAAGAAAAATGTTCATGTCCATGCATCGTCACTGGCTATGTTTACGATGAACACGTAAGTTGTGCTCCTTGCTTTTCATGCAGAGTTTTGAGGCAGCTAGTCGTATTTTTTAAAGGAGGGGAGCTGGGGTTTTAAACCATGGTCACCAAGAAATGATATTATAATACAAAAATAGAAACAACGGTGTTTCTGAAAACTTTAGATCGAAGGTTTAGAAGTTCCTGGGAAGTGTTGTTGACTGTATTTGGGGTATTAGAGAAGCCAGAGTCTTCTCTGGATAACTCAAGAGAAATTAGGAGCGCACAGAGGCTTACCTGGGTATTTTGATCTTCAGAAAAACCTATGAAAAGGGATTATATTGCCAGAGCAGAGAAATGGTTAATTCTTGATCTGGTAACAAGAGTTCTTCAAAATGCTGCCATGTCCTACTGGATGTTAGACTTTTTTACTAAGAAAAGTCGGAGCCTACAGCATGCAGGTCTCCAAACCTTCCTTTTCCTTGTCAGGGGAGCTTACTGTGTAAATATGACTCTGGAATCCTCCACGGCTGTCAGGAAGGAGTCAGGGGCATAACATTTTTCTTTACATCGTACAAATGGCCCCTTGGAAAGTGAAGGCCCCGAGTCTAATGCTGTTAAACATGGAATCTAGAGTGAGAGAAAGCTTATGTCTCTTCAGAGAAGTCTTGGATTTTCTTTCTAAACCTTCCTGCTTTTCATCAAGGTTTGAAACATACCTAGAAGGGATGAGCCAGTCCACTGGCTCTAACTTTTAAGGTATAAAGGACCGAGTGAGAGGCCAGAAGTCAAGGCAGTTTTAGTCTCACTTCACATGTGATCTTGGGCTATAACCACGTTCTCTCTGCAGACCTTTGTTTCCTCATCTGAAAAATGAGCAGTTGGACTGATTGACCTGGGGCCCAAAGGTTCTGCTGGGACCCAAAGAGCAGAAACAAGAAACATATTGACATCTACTCTAGAATGCCAGTAAAAACTCATAAGGCTTCAGGTTAGGGACAGATTAAAATATATCTGGCTTTTTGTCATCTGTAAATATCGACTGCCCAGGCCTTGGGATTCAACCTGAATTAAATATGCCCAATATGTTTTCCTGAGATCAGAAATATATCGTGGACACAGAGAGAAGACATAGAAGCTGCTGAATGACCAGTGAACAGGTAAATACATTAACATGATGCAGATGCCCAGATATGACATGTCTCATAGCTCTGGGAAATGCTGCTGGCCTGCTATACATCTATGCATTCAAAAACTCATATATATCTCATGCATCCATCCATATGCATTCATCCACTGATACATCCATGCATGCCTGCATCCATCCATCCATCCATCCATCCATCCATCCATCCATCCATCCAACCATTTTTATCCATTTATCCATCTATCCATCAACTCACCAGTCTGCCTGTCTGTCCCTCTCACTCACCCATACACTACATGAGACACGGGGATGAGAGCCGTAACAAGGGGGCCTGGAAAAGTGGGGCTCGGGTGACGGGAGACACCCCTTCCAGCTGGAGACCTCAGAGAAGGCTTCATGGAGGAGCTGGCGCTTGAGCTGAGTTTTAAAGGATAGGCAAAGTGTAAAGAAAGCAGCATGTGAGCAAAGGCCTGGAGATAGGGAAGTACTGTGCTTGTCTGGGAACACAATGACTAGTCAAGAAAGAAGGTCACATAAGAAAGAAGATTGAAGAAACATTAACTCTGGGCATCAAGGCAATTAAGAAGACTTTGGAACCAGCCAGTTTTACAGTAGAGGGAGCGGGAGAGAAGGAAGTGGAGAAGGCGAGAGGGGTGGGGAGCCCCTAGACACTAACTGGGCGAGAACTGTTATGGGGAAGGGTGTGAATAAAATATAGAAAGGCAAAAGGAAACCCTGCATATTGCGTGAAGCTTTACAAGTGCCTCACATTTGGTTTCTAAGAGTCCTACAAGTAACTCTTTATACAACTTTGAAAAGTCAAGGAGACTTTACGTTCCTAAGAGACTCATTAAGGACTGGGAGGTAGGAGGGTGTGAAAGGGATTGTACTGTTTCTGTGTGAGACAAGAGCCTTTCTACCTTCCTGCACCTGGCCCTCTTAGGCTATTTTTCTGGAACTGCAGAAATGGAAGGTCGAGTGGGAGGAGTCCGCTGCTGTGCACTGAGCCAGACAGTTGCACCCTGGGTGCCGAGGACTGGAAGACGAGAGGACACCTGGGCTGGAATCCGTCTCCGCTCCTCTTTAGGTGCGTGACTCGGGAGAGTTGCGCAATCTCTTTCCAACGGTATCATTAAAATGTTTATAGTAAGGATTGATTACAGTGAAATATGAGAAGAGAAACAAACCCTAAACTTTAAGCCCCACAAACATGCTGACTCTTTCACAAAGTATCTCATTTTATCGCTGTAACCCACTGGGGGAGGAACTGATTCCCCTATCTTGCGAATAAGAAACTGGAGACCAGAGAGTTTGAGTAATGTTCCCAAGATCACACAGCAAGTTAAGCGGTGGCAGAACGATGTTCCAAACTCCACACACAAGTTCCTTAGCAATTTCTGTGCTTCACTTATTGTAGAACTCTTGGAGACATGGCTTCCTGACTGCCCTGAGCTATCGAATAATTAGCATCTAGCTCTGTAACTGGGTTTAAGCGGAAGAGGGATGGAAGGGTATGGAAGGGAGGCAGGGAGTGTTAGAGGAAAATAAAAAGGAGTGGCAACAATTGGGAGGCAAAGTGACATTCAAGTTCTCTAAATGGATTCTTCAAAAGTTGGGGAGGGAGAGTGGGGGGCGGGAGGAACGATGAGCCAGGCGGTGGGGATGACTAAGCGGGCCGACCCCAGTGCCCTGCGGCTGCCCAGCACATACTCTGCCCTGGCTGGGGGACCTAGTAACCACAGTGGGAGGCAAAGCAAATAATGCTTTGTTGGTTTTGCTAAAAGAAAATAAGAGCAACACAGTTTACTCCCTGAGGCCCATGTGCTGAGCCAGCTGCTTCTGGGAGCCCCCTTGCTGGGCTGTGGTCCTCTGCCCCTAAGATACCTTGAGCGTTCAAGTGAAGGAAATCCAGGCTTTTTAGCGGTGGTGCCTTTTCCTCTTCTTATAATCTACAAACAGTACAATGCTCAGATCATAAGTGTTCTGTTTTGACCCATGCATGTCAAGGCCCAGAACATTTCTGTCACCCCAGAAAGTTGGCTTGGGGTCCTTCCTAGTTAATCCCTGCCTCCCCCAGCAACGGTGATTTGAATTCTGTGTTCAGTTTTGACTATTCTGGAGTTTCACATAAGTGCAGTCATACAGGATGTTCTTCTCATGTCTGTCTTCTTTTATACAACGTTGCGTTTTCGAGATTCGTCCATGTGGTTGCATGTCTCAGAAGATCATTTTTATCCATCAGTAGTATTCCGTTGTATGAATACAGTGCAGCTTATTTTACCTGTTCTCTGGCGATGAGCCTCTGGGTTGTTTCCAGTTTTAGCCTATGGTGAAAAAAGCTGCCACAACCATTCATGTATGAGACTTTTTGGAGACATATTTTCATTGCTTTTAGGTGAATACCTGTGAGCAGAACTAGTGGGTCACAGGGTGGGTGTGATGGTGTGCTGGAGGGGACTGGAGCTGACTAGCAAGGGCTCATTTCTTCCCGACACCACTTTCACTCATGCCATGGTGGCAGCTCGAAATCGGCCCTCGTGGGAGTATTTCTACCTGGGAGATCAGCAAATGCCACAAATCAGGCTTGATTTTCTTCTGGGGAGCCCAGAAGTGTTAAATGCTTACCAGTATACCAGCGGGTGGATGTCTGCTTAACTTTTTAAGAAACTTTTTCAAAGCGGCTGTACCATTTACTGTTTCTATCAGTGATGTATGAGGGTTCCAATTGCTCCACATCCTCTCCAACATCTGCTGTTGTCAGTTTTTACTCTAAGTCCTTCTGGTAGGTGTGTGGGGGTATCTCAGTGTAGTTTTAATTTTCCTTTTCCTGGTGACTGCTGATGTTGAGGGCTTTCACATGTGTTTACTTGTGGTCATTTGTGTGTCTTTCATAATGGTCTGTTTAGCCTTTGGTATTTAAAAAAATTGGGTTGTTTGTCTTTTTATTATTGAGGGGCAGGAGTTCCTTTTATATTCTGCATGTAAGCCCTTTGTCGGATTTATGTTTTGAGAATATGTGCTCCTGGTCTGTGGCTTGCCTGTTTATTTTCTTCAGGGTACAATTTTTTTATGAGCAGACATTTACAATTTTGATATTATACAGTTTATCAATGTGTTTTAATTATGGCTCATATTTCCTGTGTCCTCTCTGAGCTATCCCGTCCGTCGTGCGTCTTCGGCCTGGAGTGGCCTTCCCCGTTGCCTCTGTCTGGGGCACCACTCATTTGTCATCTGTCATAAATAGGGCGCCCTTTCTGGATTTCAACTAGCAGCATTTCTGGACACTGTACCCCCACTTAGTTCATACCTCTTTGATCGTGCTACGTTGTAACTGTCTCTTTATGGGTCTTTCCAACTTACCTGATTGGGAGCTCCAAGTGGGGATGGCGGGTCTTCTGGATTATATTCTCATTTGTACCTTCCCTTCCGCCTTCTCTTCTGCTCCTCGACCCTTCTCTCATCTCCATCTCAGCACCCTGCTAGGAGCCGGCCCAGAGCAGGCTCACAGTGAACGCTAACTGATTGAGAGAATTAACTGGAATGAACTCAGGACCTTGTGAGTCTTCATGGTTGACCTCTTTGTCCTTCGGTTACGTTGTAATGGTCGAGAATATATTGGGGATAGTTTATGTCACAGAACAAAAGTGAGTTTGAAAAACTCTATAAGGTTCTATCAAAGTTAGAGCCATTGAGAATCCTCAGTGAGGAGTCACTGAGGATCAAGTGTGATTTTGCTGGGAAAAGGTTAAGGTTGGGCAGCTCTGTGTTCTTGTGTGTGGTATGGGGAGGTGGCCGGAGCAGGTGTGTGCATGGAATCTAATCTGTCCTGCATCTCAACTTTGAGACCCAGTTAACAAAGCACTGGGCTGGGGGTTAGACAAACCTGGGGTCAAGCACATTTACAGCTACGTGACCTTAGGCAAGTGACTTCAGCTCTTAAATCCCTGTTTCTTTAGGTAAAAACCGGGGGTAGTAACAGCACCAGTCTCACTGGGCTGTTGTTGGAATTAAAGGCAATGCACATAAGACAGCTCTGGAAATAGTGAAGTTTCCAGAACAGTTCCTGTCCCTTAGGATTTGGGCAGCCCCTCTGGAGAATATGGAGAATGCTTGGCGGCTTCCCTACTCTGTGGAGTTCTGCGAGCTGGAAAGCTCCCTGGGATTTCCAGCTTCAGGGCCATATCTGACCTGGGCGGTTAGATACATTTCTGGAGCTGAGGGAATTAGAGGGGTCATGGGGAGTCCACACACAAGCCCAAGTGAAGCAGAATATAGGAATGCCCACCATCCCAAAGAAACGAATGTCCACCCCAGATTCTGAGGACCCATTTTTGAGGTGTTTTCTACTTGACTGTTTTTGCATCTCTCAAATGGTCGCCGGAGTGGGCTGATCAAGGCTTCCACAGTCCATCAATAAACAGGGACTTGTGGGAGGGGATTCTGAGCAGAGATTGGCAGCCCACGTTACAGACTCAGGGGTAGAGGAAGGACATGATAGAGCGTGTCCCCCAGCCCACATGCCTTTGGCAGTTCCCACCTGAATCTGGAGGCAAGAACAGTGCTGCCTCCAGCGAGCCCCGCCTCCCTGAGTCCAGTACAACCCCCCCCCCCCCCCCCGGGCTGACCCCAGGGTGCCAATAACCCACTGCCCTTTCCCTCTCGGTCTTTTCCAGAGAATGGCCTGAGAAAGTGGGAGTCAGCTCGTGTGCATGCCAGGAGGAGCTCCCTTTGGCTTTCTCTCCTTCCATCACTTCTTCGAGTCGCCATCCCGCGGGCCTTCAGCATCAAGGTTTGCCACGCCCGGCTTGCCCAGTGCCCGCGCGGTGGGTCCGGACGCCGGCCGCCCTGGAGAAGGCGGAGCGGCGGGCGGGAGTCAGAACCTGCGGGCGCCCGCTCGGCGCTGCCTTGACTCGCGGCCAGGCCTGGCGCGGCGGCGGCTGTGGAATGTGTGAGCGCCATGTGTCACCGCCCCAGACTGTGGGAAAACGCTGCTCTGCTCACCTCCCAGCAGCTGCCCCGCGCCCGCCCGAGCGGGAAACAGGAGCCGCCCGCCACCCAGGCCCGGCGCGTTTCCCAGCGGACCGCCTCGGGGCCCCCGGAGGGCCTTCCCCCACAGGGGCGGACCGATCTAGTCTCCGAGGCTAGCCATGGTGGATGGAGCAGGCTTCTAGGCGCAGACCCCACTCAGAGAAGGGCCTGGGGAGCAGGCGGGACGGCTGTGGCTGGAGGGGGGTGGGGAGGACCCTCCCCACCGCGGGTGTCAGACGGGTACACCTTCCTGGTCCCCCACCAGGCGCCCTGAGGTTGGGCCCAATGACCTGCGATCTCTGAGCCGGAGGCCCCACTGTGCCTACTTCCCCCGAATAAAAAACAGCTTCCTCCAGGGCCAGGCAGGTGATCTGGGGAGCCTTCACTTTCTAAGGGACCCACAACTCCAGCCCAGTGCCTGGTTTAAGTGGGAATCAGGTGGGCCTCAGAAATCCCCCAGACCGAGGCCTTCTAAGCCCAACCATGTTGGGGGACCTATCCAAGGCCAGCCTGCTGGGTAGCCCCAGAGTGACTTCTAAAGGCCTAGTGCCCCTTCGGCCACACCCTGGTGCACGGCCCCCCCTCCCCCAAGGCATCATGGTCCTTCTCAGCAGCCTGGTGCCCCTCATTGAGTTCCCTGCCCTAACTAGAGAAGTTGGGAGCGAGGCACATGGGGATGGGGGTAAACCAGACATCCTGGGACTCCAGCAGCTTGGCCTCAGCTCAGCCTCCTGCTACCAGAGGTCCTCCTCCTGTGACGTTGGCCTGTGTGCCTTGGGGTGCTCCACCCTACAGGCCTGTGATCCTGGTTAGCGAGCCCCCCACTGCACTTCCGCGCTGGATGGGCATCTTCCCATGTCTGCACCTCGCTTTTGCTTGTCCTTCAATGTCCCATCCTGAGGCCCGGGGTGCAACCCCTCTCCCCTCGCCTGGAACTCCCGAAACCCTTGATTCCTGGTCCTCCTAAGGCTGTTGTAGCGCTTAGAGCTGGTGATCTTCTCCTCCCCTCTACAATTTCTTTTTCTTTTCTTTTTTTTTTTTTAAGATTTTATT